TTTTTTCTTGCTTTGAGTTCAAATTTTTTTCAGAATTTTATTTTTTATATTTTTAATTCCTATTATATAAATACAAATGTAGTTTTATCAACTGGTTAAGTGGTTCTAGTTAAAAGATCTTATTAATTATCGAATACATGGAGGGAGGAAAGGAAATTAAATAAAAAACTGGCAGATGATTAATTTTTTTCGATATTAGCCGGAAAATAGCTAAGATCTGTTGAAAACAATAAAGCTATATAGTTTACATTGTCCTCTAATTTTTTTTCCACTTTTTTGCAATTTAAGGAATTTTTTTCATGGCCTAGTTCATTCTCCATAGCTATAATAGCCAATTTAGGATTGTCGCGCACAATTATATAAATCACACAAAATCAAAATCCCTCAAAAAATACTAATTTTTAGATTTAGTACTTTTACTATTACTATTAGTATAATATAAAAATTCTACTAATTCTACTATTCTACTATTTCACTGATTATTTTACTGATTCTGCTAAAGGGAAAGAACAATTTTGATGGATTTCACCAGTGTTTAAATATTTTGCGGATGAACAACGTTGAATAAAATAGCTAAATTGAGCGGAACAATAGGTGTTATTAGTAAATCTTTGATAATATTAATATTGATATTATTCTTAGGAAATATCTCGAAGTCGCGGCTGAATTGTCGAACAGTGTATAGTTAATGGAAGTTTGATGGAAACGAACTTTTTTTACTGCTTTTTTGGCATAAAAAAATTCCTTTCTTATTACCCTTAGGCGGTGTGGGTCATCCTCAACCTTGGGTCCTCTACCAGAGGCCTGCGAGCTTGAGAGTTCTAGAGCAGTGTGTCAGTTATTGCTATCATTGATGTTGTTCCTGGAATCTGGCTAAGCCTTAGCCTAACGCTCCTGTTACTTGGTATTGCTATACCAGTGCAGATTTTTAATTCTTATCCACTACCTGGCTCTATCTGGTTGATTGGCCAGTATTTGTCTGGATGAAGAAGTTCCAAAGAATATTGGCCTAAGAGAATCACCAATCTGGCTCCCTAACCTAATGTAAATGTCAACTACTTGGTTATAACTTTCAATATTATTTCTGTTATTTCTAATTGTATTTTACATCCTGCTACTATGTATTGGACTTTCTAAAGCTTTTTAGAATGTTTCCTGACTCCTGTCTGAGATAGTAGGATAGATAGTAGGTCCCTACATTGATGGATTTATTGTTTAGTACCTGTTTTTGTGCTACTATGAGCATAGATCATATATATTTTCATCTCCCTTTCAGTGATTATCCAGAATTAAAATAAATCGTAGTACTTTTAAGGAAAGCTCAGGTTTTATATTTTTTTAATTTTTTAAACAAATTTTCACTTTCAAGCTGATTTTTTTTTTAAGAATCTTAATAACAAGTAAAAGTAGTAGATGTGTAGAAATGTACGAAATGAACGACTTACGATCAATCATTCAGTAAAGATATTCAGATATATATTATACATATTCAGATATATATATATATATTCAGATATATGTTTATACATCCTATGCACCGCTAATCCCGTGTGACCACTGCTGAAGTGTGCAAGAAATATTCGTTTTTCGTTGTTTAAGGCTCAAGCCTAAATTTGCCGTCCATTCTTCGAGAAATCGATTATGCGTCAGTCTGTGAAACAATACAGATGAAGTTTCTGTCTTGAAGGAAAATGCCACTACTTGAATGAATCGAGAAGTATATATATCTTTCATTTCTCCTGATCACTTCTCCATTATTTTATTTTTTCTTGAATAGTTTTATTGATCTTCATTCGCTAGCTTTATGCAAGTAATATATTACTTTTGCACCAATGAAGTACGTGAAGAGGGAGGTATGTGAAGCGTTTTATTAATAGACATTTTTTTCCATTATTATTAATCAGTCGTCTGGAAAATAAATTGGGTGGTTTGCCTAGTGAATCGCTTGTTTCGGTTAATACTTAATGAATCGTTTTGTGATATTTTAGATTTATCCACTGGTCACATTGTTTTGCTTTTCTTTAAAGAGTTTTCACCATTATTGATTAAACTCAATCCGCTGGCTTGTCACATTGGACAAATATGCCAGAGAGTCCCTTGGAGATAGAAATACAGGTGAGTCGCCAGCATCACCCGGATTTTGGGACAAGTTTATTCCTGTGGGAAATAGAACCTTAGTATCTGAGCTTTGAATCGAGCAACATTCCACTAAGCCATCCTATCCCCATTGTCATGCATTTTCCTCAACCTAAATCCATTTCCATCCTCAGCCTTTCTTTTGGTTCCATACAATTTATGTTTCTGTAGATATAAATTTGTTGAATATCATTATTTTATCGGACAATCAACAAATTCCTACCAAAATTGTTTAAAGCTTTTTTAGTGGTTTCGCTTGTACTGACTTGTCTATTCATGTACCACTATCCACCATCAATCATCCATATTTTTACTAATAAAATGCACATCATACACTCATAAGTTGGGACTACAGAACTAGAATTCACGAAACCTGGGCTGTAGTGATCTGCAGTTGATTTTGGGAAATCTTCGTTTAATATTTTGGATTAATGGTTTTCTGATCGAGTGTTGCTTACTTGGCTTTCTTGATTTTATATTTCCCTATCCTTTGCCCAAAATATATTTTATTCTTTAGAAAATACACCGTTAAGATCGAAAAAATTATTAAATAACTGTGGATATTGCAACTTAAACATATTATACATACATATAACTTAAACATACATATTTAAATATCCTTTTTTTCTTGGTTCGTGGATTAAGTTTTTTAAGAGCCCAACTTTCATCGCAATTCAGTTTACTAAAGTATTAGCACTGATAATTATACTACACTACAATATATGGCTTGATGTTTTAATAAACTAGGATATTGGATATTGGCGGTCCTACTGCAATAACAATCACCAAGTATTGTTTGTTTAGAAACTATTGTCGGATTAGTTGGATATATTTTGGGTTCGAATGGTACTTCCTATATTAATCATTTTAAAAGTTAAATCACTTACAACTATCAGTTTTTTATATAGTTGCTTTAAATAGTTGTGATTATTTTTGCTCTTATTTTCTGTTTTCTAATCCTTGGATTTAATTTGTTTAATTTAATTGAATAAACATTTGTCATAGTAATTTTTTAAAAATTAAATGAAATCCTTTGTGGCACGTTTATTTTGGAGAAATTTATTCTAACAATTATTGATCACAATCGCTAGCGATGGCTATGTTGAATATTGAAGTGCGAGGAATCTTTATTTCGAGGATTCACATTTTCATTTGTTTTATTACATTATTTTCAGCTTATCTCGAGATGTGATCGTCACTGCTTCTCCCCTTTGCAATACGTGTCTTCAGTTTCTTCGTTCTCAAACAATTTATAATAGTAAGTCAAGCATGAATAATATTTTAGTGCTGATGAAAGACATAATGCATCTTTAGTTATTTAAATAGATAATTCCTAAAAGAATGAATGTTTTCCAAATCTTCGATCCTTTAGTTTTTAATATATTGAACATTTTTCATTCAGGAATTAATTGAATATAGATAAGCCGAGGCTAATAATTGCTTGCTTCGAATTCTTTTCTTTTTCTGCTTAGTTGCTTAGTTCATTTTATTATAAATTGCTCATTCAATTTTTTATTGGCGTCATTTTTTAAATTTCTTTTCATATAATTTATTTTCATTTTGTAGAATATCGGTCAACATTTTTTCGTTCTTTTCTTTTCTATGAGCATTAGAAAAGTTACTAATATGATGGTGATAATAAAAAATATCGGAAAAATTATTATAATATAAACATGTAAAAAACTAGGTGGTTAACATTCATCATTTCTGATTAGGCTTACTTCACTGGCTATTAGTAGATCGAGAAATTTTTGCTATGAAGACGATAGAAATGCAGAAGGATTTTCATCATCTCAACAATTTTTAATGATAAGTTTACTCCTCAGGAAAAGTCCGAACTTATGCTGCAGGCGATAAACTGAGCGATAACCACTCCTCTATCTTATTTTTCCAAACGAGTTGTTCTTTTGCGAGTGATGCGATGGTTTAATAATTAATTAATTAGTTTTAGCATTGTTACAATTAATTAATTATAAGAACATTTAATCACTGGAAGAAATATTAATGAAAAACATCTTTTTTATAAATATCCAGGTTCTGAATACTTCTTATCAATATTCTCAAAGTTATCGTCACGCACATTTAAACGAATATGTGATCTCGAGTTTGACTTATTCTAAAGCTTATTCTAAAAAATGTTGCTGGATTGAAAATCTAGGATAATTATTAGTTATTTACTATATTTAAGGAAAATAGGCTGAATAAATCATTAGTTTTCCGAAGGAGATTCCTTCATCATCATATATAAGTTCAAACAAATCTTCATGATATTGATATCTAAGAAATAATGTATTTGTGATGAATGTGAAATGCTCTCGCTAAGGCTAAGAATACCAAATTTGTTAATAAGGCCTTTTCTGCTAACAAATTGTTAAATTTGTATCATTGGAAAATTTTTCTTGGCAAATTTTCCAACTTTTTCTGAATAAAATTTCGTTTAGCATAACGACAGTAATGGTTCATGATATTTTACTCCTTATATATTGCATAACTGTTCCGATGCATTTACAACATCTTGTCTAAGTAGTCAAATTTTAAGATCAGGTGAGTCTCATCTGGACGGTTGCACTAAATTTCAAGTTATCTGCTTGTATGCCATTGTTAAGATTGGTAATATTTTGAAGATTGCTGAAGATTTTTTTAAACTGGGAATTATTTCTATAAGAAATATAAAAAAAATATGAGAAATATATGCTATATAATTGCTGTGGATCTGAAAGATTTTCTCAAATTCTGTCGAAAATTTGTATACCTGTGCACCGTTAATCAAAATTTGGTTTCGAGATTTATAGAGATCACGTTTTTTCTTGAATTTGTAATATCCACAATACAAATTGAATTTCAGCAACAGGTATACATTGGCAATGAAAAGAATATTTTTTGGCCGAAAGAAGCTAAAAAAATCCCAATCGGTACAAAATGATAGGATAAATGTGAGTGATGGTCGCATCGTGAATGGTGGAACAAACGTGCCATCAAGTGGTGCATCTGATCAGCCCATCACGAGAACATCAAAGTATGAAAATCATTTGGGTTTTAAAAATTTTATGAATTAGGAAGAGTGTTAACAACAGTTACTGCTTTTTAATCGTCTTCGTTTTAATTTTCAATTCCGTTTTTTACATCTCTTACATCCGATAATCCCACAAGTAATAGTAAGGAGAGAAGAGGCATAAATATTATGAACAAAAGGTTGTATTAAATCGAGATTTAGTGCTGAATTTATAAGGAGTAGAACGGCTCAATGGTTTATTCCTCAATTCGGCCTCGATACTGAGGTTCTAGGAGTAAACTTGTCCAAAGAGTGATGCTAGCGATTCACCGGTACTTCTATCGCCAGAGAGCTCCCTGGCATACTTGTCTAGTGTAGTAATCCATCGCAGCGAGTCTAACCAATAATGGTGAGGGCTCTAAAAAAAAAACTAAATTGAGGCTGATTGATATGACGAATGAATAAATCAGAATCCTTTAAAATTAATCCTTTCTGCTCGAGAAGCAAAAAAAAAGTCATTGTTTCACCAGAATTTTCTGTCTTATGAATTTTGCACATTTGAAAGATTTTTTTTAAAAATTGCTGAAATTTCCATTAACTATCAGAAAATCGAAAGTTATTTTAAAGCTTTGATATATCGAATATCGCCTGATTCTATCAGAGATTAGATTCTACGATTCGTCTTTTCCACTTCTTTCGGTCATTAATAAATATTCACTCACAAACTTAACTATTTAACTTCGAATTTGTTTTTGAAAGCTATGAGCTTATCAAAAAACTAGGATAAAAAATATCTGCTTGCTTTTGTCGTTTCCTTAACACTGTAATTACTGAGTAGATTTCTAATTACATGTTGATATAGATGAGTAGATAATAGAAAGTCAAAAAATTCATTTGGATACAATGGTTTTTTGAATATACTTTCAATTTGTTGATCTGAATTAAATGAGCTCTAAAGGCTTAAATATAAAGGCTTTGAGATCGTTCGCTTCAACTGTATCTCAAGAAAGATACTGGTTCCGCTCCGTTTTCGACAAAAATAGTTTCCTTAGGTGAATTTTCGTTATTTGGAATCAAAGCGTTCAAGTGATTCGCTCCGGTGTTGGTCCTTTTTTTCATTCCTTAAATGCAACCTATTCTTTGTGATTATTTTGAAATGAATACATTTTGATATTTTTATAGTCATTTATGTTTCTTAATTATGAATTGAACTGGTTATCATTAGTGCAAGAAATGAATGGAAAGCTCAAGATTAAAGTGATAAAAAACAACTGACGATTAAGGAGAATGTTTGAACAAACATTTGGGCAGCAATTTTAAATAATTGTCTAAATAAATAAAATTTTTTTTCAATAAAATGGATAAATTGCTTGAAATAAACTTAATAAGTGTGAACAGCCGCTTCCAAATGAAGTCTTATCTTACTGCATCAGATTACAAAAGTATGATGAAGAACTTGTTGGCGGTTCAACAAAACTAATTTTTTGGTTATTTTTGATTAATAATCATTAACGTTATTTATTGAGAATTGTGCTTATATGTCGTTCTTTGATAGATTTTGATAACCTTGGCAAGCAAACGCTTTTGCTAATTCCTGTTGCGAGATTTCTCGTTTATTACGATTGATATAAAATTGCTAAATTACGATGAGCATTGGATTTTTGCTAAATTCATTGATTTCAATAAAAATATAATAACAATAGTTGCTAATATTAATGATTAAGGGAATCAACATTAGACGACTGCCACAGTTGCTTTAATGCGACTACATCGTCACTGATGGAAGAACATCATTTTGATGAAGAGCTGGATAAACATATGATGCAAACTATATCTGATATAAAATATAATAAAAGGCCGAAATATGTAGCTGTAGGTAAAATTTTCTCTAAATCTTTTATCTTTTCTTTCAACCTTTCCACAAATCATCCGTTTGTTATGGGTAGTGGTATAATAATTAACAGTTATATCTTATGTGCAGTCAGGATGAAGGTAACAGCGTCGTCTGCATTAGATGGTTAGGAAATTAAATGTACCCTTACATAAGAATCCATTGTGCTGTAAAAATTTTACTTTTCTATCTTTTTTGAGAAGAAAAAGAAACGTTTAGCACCTTTTTCACTGGAAAGTAAAAATCGATCAAATACAAATTTCAAAAATTCTGCTGAACCGTTCGAGAAAATGGAATGAAAACAAGTCTACATTCACCCCAGCAAAACATGTGTTTTAGGTGAAGTTAATTTTCAACGAGAAAGTTTGGATGCTCATAATTTGGTTAGGACGCGTTATGGCTGCCAGTCGTTATTATGGTCACAGGAACTTTCCGATCTCGCTCATACATGGGCAGTAAAATTATCTGCTACTGGGCGAGTTCTATTTCCCGAATTGCCTGGTAAAATTAATTGTCGTAAAATTTGATTTGATGAAATTTTGTGATTTTTGTGGAAAAGTAATGGCAAAAATTTCCAGGTATTGGGGAGAATATTTTTTTGTCTATGACTACTGGTCAGAGTCATTTACCATCAGGAACGGAAATAACTGAAATTTGGGCAAATGAAGCTGAGAAATTTAATTTTGATGCTCCAAAATGGCACCCAAGTAAGGGTAATAGTATAATAAAATGTAAATAAAAGCATAATACCTTTTTGATTCCAAATTTAATTAAATCCTTCTATCATTCTAGCAATTATTTTCTTAGATTGTCAACATTTTACTCAAATCGTTTGGAAGGAAACTTATGAAATGGGTATAGCTAGACATTGGAATATAAATAAAAACTGTGTCGTAATAGTTGCATTTTATCGACCAGGAGGCAATTCAAATGCGCCAGGTACAGTTTTAATAATAAATCTATACTGCATAAATTAATTGTCCAGACTGATTATAAAATCTCCGAAATAAAGCTGCATTAAAATGAAAAAAATAAAATTTGTGCTGATTTTAATATTTATTATTATTTAAGTACTATTATGTATTATGGTTGTTCCTGCATCATAAGAATAAATAAATAATATAAATAAGAAAAAATAGATATCAATAAATAAAGGAAAAAAATTTTCAGGTGAATTTAGAATAAATGTCCCATCAAAGGCGTGTTTTGATGATAATCCTGTTTCCATAGCCACTCCATTAGCATTTACTGCTTCAGCCATCGGAAGATCAGTCAATACATTTAATTCAGGATTGGGTTCTTCTGACAAATCTTGATGCACTTTAAAATTATTTTGGTCCGCATAAAGCTTAAAATGATTGAAAATAGCGACTAAACTATATTATGGTTATTTAATTTTAAAGATTAACTGTGATCCTTACTTATAAAATACTTTACCGAGTGTTTTTGCAACTTTACGTTAATTTTGATCTCTATTATTATCCATATCTCCTTTCTTTAAAACGTTTAAGTGCGAATTTTTTTTTCGTGTAAATCTTATGAAAAAATTTATAAAAAATTATATGGCAATTTCCCTTTGAATTCATAAAATACTTTCATACATATTATTGAAGAATGTTTAATTTGTAATTCCATAGGAAATGATAATTATGGAAAGAAATGATTTTTGTCAGATTGTTCTTTTGATTTTTTGGCTAAATATTACGATTTGGGCATAAGAAAAATTTAAATAGTCGACTGTTTAGTCGATTTTTTTGACTTCTACAGTTTGCGGCTTTTGCAGCTTTCATTTCTTTCAGTGGATTTGGTTATGCATCTTTTTATCTCAAATCAGATCACAAATTCTCTCATTCCAATAGTTTCATCCGTATTTTATTGCAAATACAGCCGTTACAGCCGTTTGTTTTTAACAAATAATAATATAAGCTATTAGCAGTGTTTTGATCTGTTTCTTTTCTTCTTCGTATGGGACAAATGACTGAATGAAGTAGACATATAGTGTTGAGTTTTCAACTGTTAAGGAAATACACGCATTTCAAGTGTATACTGTCATATTCCATACAAAAATAATTAAATAAGAATAATAAATAACCATATCAATTTTATAAGACTTTATTTTTCGAAATGAAAATCATTATGAAAATAAAAATATTAACAAAAAAAATGGTGATATATTTTTTTGCTGAAATAAACTCAAAAGTCAAAAATCTGCGTCGCAAAAAAGAAAAATTTTTTCATGCTTTTTTTTCCGATTTGAAAAGTAACTATTTACATATAAAATTTAGATTGAAAAGATAAGGTTAAAATAAATATGAAATGTAAATAATATATACAGCGAGTAATATTAATTAACTTTCTTCAAAATACATCTGTGGAACAAAAAATCGGAGTAATATTTAGAGGAAATTGGCAACAGTGCTCGCCATAAAAGGAATAATTCGAATGTTTATTGTTAGCTTGCATATAATAAAGTAAGAAAAAATGAAAATTTCCTATTTTTTTTTGAGGTTTTATTCTTAAATGAAACTGAGTGGTTATATAAAATAGAAAACCGAATTGCTCCGCATATATTTGTGTTTTGCTCTTCATATGCTTAAGCAAAACGTTTATGCTCCTACTATTTAATTTTGTAAATTTACTAAAATAAATGGTTAGTGGTTAATGGTTAATCACCACTTTTCATGTTTCTGATTATACTAGCTCCACTGACTGTTTCTTTAGTACGATAAGGCACTTTTTCACCTGGTGGTCATAACTGGGTCATCCAGCTCGAGTTTATCAATGACAGATTTGCTCTTGCCGGAGGTAGAACCTAAACGCTCGAGGCGAACAACTCATCTATCTGCCATATCCACTTCTTCGATATCCACTGTTTTCTAGGGTTTTGGGGTTTTTTATAATAGTCATAACAGTTTTGAAGCCTCCTAAAATCTACAAAGAATTCAATCATATAATTTGAATTTTTGTCTCAAATTTTTTTAATATATGACCGACAGAATATTTCAATTGTCAGAAATAATTTATTTCTAAAAATACAAAACATCAAGTTTTTCTTTTCTTTATCAGCCATAAAATTATAATAGATTCATTCTTATCGAATATTCGTTTAAAATAATTCTATAATGGAATTTGTTTGAAAAAAATCAACAATGACCTCAAAAATTTTTGAAATTTTTAACTTCAGTTTACGGCTATCTCACATATATTGCTTGAACTTCCTTAAAACCGCAATATTTGATAATGTGCTGATAGAACCGAAATCATTTTTTAGCTGAGTTACGTTGAATCGCTAAGGTATTATTCGCTACTTGTTCTGGAGCTATCATACAGTACCATTTGTTTTTTTCTTGTTTTTTTTTCATGAAATGGTGAATATTCTCTATTTGTTCATATAGAAAAAGGCAATGTATTGTTTGCAAATAATACCTTACAAATCTTCGCTTTGAGTGCCATAAGCATAAATATACGTGGAGTTTATACGCGAATTTATAATAAATAACGTATGCGGTTAGTATGACCATTTTGCTTATGCTGGCTCCACTGGCTGTTAGTGATAAATTTTTACGAAATCTTTTGGCGGCAAAAGTGAGTTAGATTATCCCGCATCACTTGAATTTTCTTATTGTCGAGCCAGAAGCAAGATCTAAATTCTAAATCCTAAAGCTCGAGACGATAATCTGAACAACGCCCACTCCTGCCTCTTATTCCTTGATAAGATGTTTATATTCGTTTTATAGCTTCAAGCTTTTATTATATCTAGCTTACTTGTTTCTGATTCAGTTTATAAAAAGCCATTCGATGCCCTTTTTAATATTTGAAAATTGCATTTATTATACTGTTCTTATTAAGATTAAATATGATAAAGCAATGGTTTCTATTATACCACAGCAGCTTTCACGATGATTAGTGCACCTTACAGCAATTTTTCCCATATCTCTATAATATTTTTTTTTTCATGAATCCACACCATTTATAGTTAAGCTCGCTTCGCTGGCTAGCTGCATTGAACGAATATTCCAAGTAGTCCATTAAGGATGGAAGTTGACTTAAATAGCCAGCATCGAATTTTTCAACAAGTTTTTCCCAAGATGCTGACGACTCACATCTACCACTATCGGCAATCAATGCACTATTTGGAATATTCGTTCAATGTAGGGAGCCAGCGAAACGTATCGTAGGAGTTCCTCTCAAAAAAAAATAGAATCAAGTGGAACGTTGTTCAAAAAAAATAATGGTAAAGTTCCGTAAAACTTTAAGATATTAAAGGGTGATCTGTTGATTGAATTATCAACTGAAGCACACATATTATTAGCGAAGGAGATTTTTAAACATTAATAAGAAAATAAGCTCATTTGTGGAAGAAAGTGCGACTTTAGCCCCGGACTTACAGTTTTGCATATTTCGAACTCTTATCTAATAGACGAAGAAAATTTGTCGATAGAAGCATAAGAGATTGCCAGCTTTTTCTAGATTCTTTGATGACAAATTTACTATGCTGGAAAAAGAGTCCGAGTCCGTGACTCTCAGCACGATGATCCAACACTACTCGATTGTCCTGCCTGATTCCTAGTTCTTTAGTAGGGGTATGCATTAAAAAGCCTTTCCATTAAAAAACCAGTGATGCAAATGAGATCATAAGTTAGAAAATAATGGTGACAAAGAGTTTGGGATTATTTTTGAAGGGTTGCGAACTATTCGATTTTTATCTAAAAAACATCGTTGGCAAATAATCCTTGCATAATTTTTTTTTTTTTTCCTTCAGATTCGAATGAAAAAGTCAAAAATGTTTTGTAACAGTCATTCAATCGGGCCTTATCTTCAGTGCATGAATATTCAGCATAAAAGCAATCAGACAAAAGATTTTCATATCTAAGTATGAACAAAAAAATAATTTGCTATTTACCAAAAAAACGATTTTCAATGTACAACATTATATGCTCATCTTTTTTTCATATCTATGAATCGTTCGTGAGAAGCTTTTTTCGTTAGCAATTACTACTATCCAAACATTTTATTTATCTGATACTACCATCAGTTTCTCTCTAGGCGCCAGAAGCATGAATTTCAAGCATGAATTTTATTTATCTTGCTTTTTAATTTATAACAAGACTGTATGCCATTAACTCATTGGTTTTCTTCGAACAATTCGCCAGAAAGAGTAAATTTATAGGTATTTGAGAATGACAAACTTACTTAAGTCACACGACACTTTTAAGATTTCGCACACAAATTTTTTCGGTAAATGTTGATTGTTATTATCTCGAATGAGCTATTTTTTAAAATCAGTATAGACAATTCGGCTTATCGTTATATCGAATTTTTTCACCGAATTAAAATTTTCGGTAAGAAAACTTGGGATCCACAAATTTTGCCATCTATTGGGAAGCTATAAGATCTTACGATGACTGCATGATTCATTGTTTTTCAACAAAAGCAATTTTGGGTCCATCATGTATCCATTCTTTTTTCTTTTATTTCAAGGATACTCCTTTCTCATACTTCTGTTCATTTCATTTCTTGCTTTTTTTTTAAAATTTTGTTATCATTTTGATATTAATTGATCGATATAATTTTGCAATACCCATTGGCCTGAAAACGTGAAGGAAATCAGCAAGGCATGAATAATTTCTGAATAATAGTTCTGAATAAGGTTTTTGGTATAATTTTAAAACTTGGATTGCTTCCAAAACTCTATACAATGCCATGGATCATAAAAAAATCTTTATTAAGCTATATGAAATTATATATATCGAGAATGAAAATGAAAATACATAAAAATATGGGAAATTTGCTATTATTATGTTATCAACATGTTAAATTTAGAAAAAAATGCTATGGAAATTATAATAAATTGTAAATTAAAATTATAATGGAAAACTATAACAAGAGGGAAAAGTGGTTAAAACTTTCCTATATGTATATTTTGAGAAAATATTGAAAAGCAATTTTGAATTAGAAATTGCTAAGCATCGTTTTTTTTTCAGCACAAGAATATGATAAAATTCATTAATAATGAACAATCAACCGTGTAAATTAAGGTGCTTGATAGCTGAGTGAATACTGGTTTAAACTTTCGTGTTGAGAGGTAATGGTTCCCTGTCCTACTGACGGCAGGAGTAAATCTAGGCGGCGGCTTATACTTTTGCACTTCCAAATTATAAAAATTATTAATCATAACAGCCAAAGGAGCTAACCTAACCAAAATTGATGAATGCAAACAGTTAAGTTGCAAAATTTTAAGCTATTCAATTAATCCTTACTTAGCGGTTGGATAAAAAGTCGAAATTTTTGGTTTAATAAAGACGAAAGATGACCA